AAACACATATAAAAAACAAAGTCACCCTTTGTTTTTTTACACCCTTTTTAAAATTTTTATTGACTATTTTTAATAGATATTGCATGTACACACTGCAAAATTCTAACAGAGCCCTTTCTTTAAATTTTTTTAAAAGCCTAAGAGGTCAAAATCTAACTTTCTCTATTCAAAAACAACCATAACCATAAATAAAACCCTTTTCAATCTGACCAGCCAACCCCAGCACCATGGAGTTTGTTATTCCAGTTAGTCAGCTGGCACTGGGTGACATCAAAAATGCTGATTTCTAGCAGCACTGGGAAAAGTACTGACTCATGCAGATTTATTGTATTTAGTTTTGGACTGCATTTACAGGATTTTGGAGGGGAAGTAAATGTATCTTCCCAGACTTAGTTGTCTTGGACCAGAATGCAAACGAGGTTGCAGTGTCTGTGTAGGCTACAAACTGTGTCTAAGGAGAAAGAGTTGGAGACACAGGAAAGGCTAATCAGGATGGAAAATCTACCCTAGACAATCCATTAAATGCATAAGCACCCCAATGAAAGAGAGATTTGAGAGCTGGCTGGATTGGGAGACAAAGAGGGGCCAGGTTTTTTGTTACTTGAAATTACCAGCAGTACCACGGATTTTTCAGGGATAGGTCCAGAGTATTGACAGCTAGACATGTCCTTATTTGGGAATAGTAGTTTGTGACAAGGAAGTCTCCCATTTATTCTTGATTAAGAAATGGCCCAGCACTTCATGTACAGCTGTGTATTCTTACCCTTCACGCTAGATCCTGTCAACATCCATATATTATTACTCCCTCTGATGCTTCCCTACCATCAACATGAGGGCCAGGGATTCTACTCTCATTGAAATCATAGAGAAATGGGTTTATTTGTTTCATTTGGCCTCAGTAATATACTCGGCACCTCCTGTCTGGGACATCTATGTAGAATCTATGGGGAAAAGACCATCTCTTGAATAAGGAAGGATATGCCACTAGGGACTTGAAAAGTGGGTCATCATAATTAACTATGAAACAAGCACCTTAAGAATTGATACTATCAGGAATGTCTTGAAGACTGTTGTTTTGGGATTTAGAATTTTTAATATCTCCAAGTAAATCTAGTCCCTGAAGGGCTTCATTGTTGAGCACCGTTAGTATAGTACTTTAACATTGGTACAGTACTTTAAAACTTACAAGACATTCACATACATTCTGTCTCATTTGACCATCACAACAACCCCATGACGCAGAACCAGCACAGTTATCCCTGCTGCACAGCTGTGGAATATGAGCAAGAGGATGTTAGGTGATTTTTCTATAATCCCATAGAGAGGAAAGGGACTATTGTGAATATTGGGTTTAAAGTTTTTTACAAGCCCATTATAGTCATTTTATTAGGGTTTCAGAAGAAAGCAAATACATGTGTATGTTTAGTCCAATATCTTCAATCAGATATAGCTTTCCTATTATGATTGGTTGTATATTTGAGTGTGTGTGTGTGTGTGTGTGTGTGTGTGTGTGTGTGTGTGTGTGTGTGAGTGCGCACGTGCTGGGGAAGTAGTAGAGGTTTGTCACTGATTAGATAAATGATAGATGATAGTTACATAGATGATAGATGATAGATAGATGATAGATACTTTCTGTAATACTATGCTTTGAATGCAAAGCAATGTATATCATTATAAAAAATTTGGATAACAGAAAAGTATAAAGAAGGGGAAAAAAATCACCTTTTAATCCCTGTTGTGCCTTTTCTTTTTAAGTTTAAAACCAACTATGAGAAGAGAAGCTTTCAAGTACCCATCCAGTCCAACGAAACACTGGTGGGTGCTGTGATCAACAATGTGTCCGAGGCCATGGAGACGCTTTCCAAGATCACAGAGGAGATGGTCCCAGTCCCGGGGTCTGTGAATGGGATCAACGCCCTGGGGCTAGTCGTCTTCTCTATGTGCTTTGGTTTCGTGATTGGAAACATGAAGGAGCAGGGACAAGCCCTGAGAGAGTTCTTTGATTCTCTTAATGAAGCCATCATGAGATTGGTAGCAGTGATAATGTGGTATGTATTTTCATTTGCTGTATACGCTATATACAAGATGCTTATTATTGCCATCAACATGTGTTCTGTACTGAGGAAGAAGCCACCAGAAGCCACCAAGCAGGTTGACCAATTGCAATGATCTCATTCTGGTAAGAAAATCAGCGACTTTCTGGGCTTGTAGTGGTCTTGAACCTATCTGCAAGCCTCTCTTAATAAGTTTGCGGCTTTGTTTTTGAAAGGTGTCAACTCCTTTGCCCTGGTGCTGATGGGATCCCATTCCTCATTCCTTCTTTTTATGTATTTTTTGTTATTCAATGCATATTTCTTGAGCATCTACTGTATACCAAGCATATAATGCCAAGCACTATAGCTATAGCAATGAAGAAAACATACAAGAATGTCCTGGATCTTACACTCTTTTAAGGAAGACAGGAAATAAGCAACTAAATCAACCATGTACTTTAGTCACAAGTGCTGTGAAAAACAATAAAACAGCAGGTTTTGTGATGTGATGTGATATGGTATGATAAAAAGCAACTGAGAAGGAGGCATAAAATTTGCCTTGGTTGGTACAGAAAGGCCTCTGAGAAGGGAACAATTTTTGCTAAGATCTAAATGACCTGGAAAAGCCAACTATACAAAATACCAGGAGAAGAGCATTCCCAGTAGCAGGAAAAGCAAACGTAGAGGCCCCTAGACCCTCAGCAAAACTGAGATCTTATCTCCTCTGTTTCAACCCTAAGAAAAAAATGGAAATGGTGGTTCAGCTGCATGGCTGAAGGACTCATGGGAAGTATTATAGAATGCCAAGCCACGATCTATAACAATATTTCCTTCAAATAAAGTTAAGAGCAGGAGACAAAGGAAAAGACTAATCCACATAGGAACATTGGCCTTGGAAAATAAATTCTCCCCAGCAGGGAGAGAACCTTTTGCTTGGTTTAGCCTCAAGTAGGGGTTGTTTACCCTTTATCTTTTATTTTTAATCCAGTCTCCTTCTTGGCACCCAAGGCATGAAGGTGTCCATTTCTGAGGAAAATACTCACCAACATGATTAAAAATATTCTTTGTCTCTATTGCTACCGAAGCCCGGAGAAATTCATTCTTCAGGCGTTTGTACAAGATGGATATGAGCTTGGGCACAAAGACGGATCAAAATGTGGTCTCCACAGGAGCCCCCAAATGAAATCCTGGGGGCTCTCCTTTGAAATCCTGGCAGGGCTGAAAGTGGACATTTATCTTCATATTATTAAAATGCCTCCACCTTTCACCTCTTTTATGAAAGAAACCCATTCAGGGCTGCTGAATGAACCTCACATGTAGCTTTTCTAGCTGTACATTTTGCCTGCACGTTCAACATTGAGTTATTACATTTCTGAAAACAGGTACTCATAATTTCCGGGCCTGTGTTATTAAAGGACTTTTAAAAGAAGCATTGTATTTTTCTATTTGAAACAAGTCCTCCACAGCTCCCAGCAGACCTTTCTCCTTAAGGATGATTGGCCTCTCTGATTTTGGTAGTATGAGTTTGGTTGTAGTTGACAGCATGCATCAGACAGAGGGAGTTGAATACCAGGCAGCGGGGTCCTTGAAGCAACCGAGGTTGTTTCAACATGTACAAGTCATGTTGTGTCTCTGTTGTTCATTTCTTGCCAGGTCTACAGGAGAAAGATCACAAATGGTGGTAGCAGCCTGTGGGCAATAATTAGTTCATTAGAACACCTATGACCTGAGTGTGGTAGTATATATATGATGTTATTTATTTTAATAGCTCTGAATTTATTTTATGGTGCCTTCTATTTATGGCAAATGGTACTGATTTTCCATTTGCACTGTAACAAAATTCCCTTTTAGAGTAAATGTATTTAAGTCAAAGAGTTGAAGACTAGTATTAATAGTGTATGTAAGTGATGTGTAAGATAGGAAAAAATAATGAAAGCGGTCCTTGAATGAAAGCTGTCTGCAAATCTAAAACACTGAAAAGGCATTGTGTCCATCTTGCTTTAACTTGGGAATCAGGCTCTGATGTGGGAGTCTGGATATTGGGTGGGTGGATCCTGGTAGCTCCGAGCACTTAGCAGGGGAGCAAGAGGCAGGGGGAGTGGATGGCACCTGAGGACCACAAAAGTGACCCAAATACAGTGAAAGCAGAGTTATCTAGAAAAAAAAAAGAGGTGGGGAACAAAACAGGTTTAGGAGAAAAAAAAATTGTGACTTAGAGAAATTCTGAGTGACAGAAAAGGCTAATTCTGCAATATTTATACTTGTTTCTATTTTTTAAAAGAACAGAAAGAAGTTCACGGCTTCTACAAATCCTAACAGTATCCTGAGCCAAAAAAAGTTTGGAAATTAGCTGTTTTCACTTTTTCTTACCACTTGGTAATTTCTGGAAAATAGCTTGTTAGAAACCAGACTTCCAATTGTGCATGTGTTGCTTCTACATAGGTACGCCCCTCTGGGCATCCTCTTCCTGATTGCAGGGAAAATTGTTGAGATGGAAGACATGGGAGTGATTGGGGGCCAGCTTGCCATGTACACTGTGACGGTCATTGTCGGCTTACTCATCCATGCGGTCATTGTCCTGCCCCTCCTTTACTTCCTGGTAACACGGAAAAATCCTTGGGTTTTCATCGGAGGGTTGCTCCAAGCACTCATCACAGCTCTAGGAACCTCCTCCAGGTATGTACATATGTGTGGCTTACTCCTCTCAGAAAACGTATCTCAAACTTTACTTTGAACCAGAAACCTCCATGTTCAGGGTAGAGGGAGATATTTGGGGGGTGGGGAAGGCGTGATTTCAACTTCCAGGCATATTAATTGGCTTTTTCACATCTGGTGCTAATCAGACTGATTTGGGAATCAAAGAATGGCTGGCTATATACCCTTTTGGGGGAACAATAATGGAAATCAACTATCCTTCCCTGCACACTGTCATCTCCCTCCTCCAGCTGACGTTTGCCTGAGGGAGAGATAGCAGGGTGACTCAGCACAGGTTGTTGTGATGGAGAAATAATGATAAGTGATGCCTCCCAGAGGAACCCAGAAGCAGGAGAGCTGCCAAATAACCCAGTCAGGGGACCCACAGTTCCTAACCCTGTTCCCCTATTTATATCAGTGCTGACTTAGTTCCCTTTAACTTAGGACATTGGGAGAGTAAGGAACTCTGTCCAAAATAACAAACACACTGGCATGGTCTGAACTATCAGGACTGTCAGCTGACATGCCCTGTTTTACTGTTCTCAGCTCTGCCACCCTACCCATCACCTTCAAGTGCCTGGAAGAGAACAATGGCGTGGACAAGCGTGTCACCAGATTTGTGCTTCCAGTAGGGGCCACCATTAATATGGATGGGACTGCCCTCTATGAGGCTTTGGCTGCCATTTTCATCGCTCAAGTTAACAACTTTGAGCTGAACTTTGGACAGATTATTACAATCAGGTACAATGAAAGTTCTACACAATGCTTTCTTAAGAATGACGTTAAACAATGTGACGGTGACCAGGGATTGAGTGAAGAAGGCGGTTGGGAAGGGGATCACACATGAATAGGAGGTTGGGATTTGCGGGAATAGTCTTATTTTTTTTATATTTAGATATTTTTAATTGATTTTTTTGTTAAATTATAGATGTGTACATTCATTATAGAAATGTATAATAAAGTAAGCCTTGCCTGCCTCCAATACTCACCATCTTCTGATAGGTGGCCACTGTTAATGTTTGGTATATAAAGACCTTTTCTCATACATAGATATACACAAACTTTTTTGGTTGTTGTAATTAATGGAATCACACCATTCGTACTGCTTGCCACTCGTTTGATTTATCAATATATCATCTATAAATATATCTAGCTTTTTCTTTTTAAAGAAATACATAGAAGTATGTAATAGATAGAAATAGAAAAATACATTTTTCTGCAAAATACATAATATGGATATTTATCTTTTTTAAAAGAATGTTAAATTATACTTCAATTTTAAATGGCAATTAAAATGTTAGCTTTTTTGACAGTATTAGAAAATAAAAATATACTTGAAACACTGGATTAACATTTTCTCTTGAGTTAATTTTTGGGCAGTATAAAATAGATGACAGACCACACTGACATATAAGTTGAGAATTTTATTTTTGTGGACTATTTTCTTAGCCATTATATATGAAATGCGTAGTGAAAACTAACTTTTCCTCTCATGTCTTCCCCTAATCTCTTAGTTTCCTTCAGAAGAAACCACTGTTGCTTGCTGGTTTCTTTAGTTTTCTTCTGGAAATAGTCCACACATATATGTGCATATGCAAATATAATCCCCTCTTTTTTTCTTACTGAAAGTGAGTGCACAACAGACAGTAAGTAGGCATGATGGAGACAGCCTCACAACCCGGATCAGATCCTGCTTGTCATTGTGTGTGTATGTTCATTATTATTAGCAATTTATTTTGCAGATCAAATAAGTCAGATTTTTTTGTTTTTTTCACAACTTTTTATTAACATTTTGCCGCTTTTGCTTCCTCTCTCTCTCTCTCTCTCTTTCTCTCTGCCTTTATGACATTTCACTTGTACACAGTTCAGCATGCATCTTCTAAGAATAGGAATTGTTTTCTACATAACCACAATAGTAAAAACCTTAAAAATACTTCCAGAATATCTAGTCAGTTGTCCCAAAAATGTCTTTTATATCTTTTTTTTTCCCTAGACCAAGATCAAATCCAGATTTATGGCTTACATTTGCTTTTTTTATGTCATCTTAATTTCTATCAGTTGCCACACATTTTTTTGCATGTATATGTATATGTTTATTTAGAAATAAGTTATGTTAGACTCTGTATATATGTGTTATTGGAAAGTGATCATAGTTGTAGGATACATTGGGGTGAAAAGATGATACTGATCATGGCCAGAGGTGACTGGCCTGGGAGTTCTGGGAGCCCCAAGCCCAGCCTAGCTACACTGGGGCTGGGAGAACCTATATTTGGACATACCTTGGCATACTGTTTGAAAAGCCCTGAGTTATGAAAAAGGTTTGGCTGCATATGACAGACTTGAAAATAATAACAAAACAGTGACTTCAACCAGATAGAACTATATTTCTCCCATGTGGAACAACAGCTCTACTCCACAAAGCCCTCAAGGCTAGTTGGTGTTCTGTGGTGTAAGGGGTTCCAGCATCCCTGGGGTGTTACCCTCATCCAGCAAGTCCAGGATGGCTGGCTCATCACAATCTCCAAATTTTAGCCAGTGGGAAGAGGAGGAGTTACACAGCCAGCAAGTTGTTTGATCCCTTTTCATCCATTTCTCATCGGCCAGAACTTTGTCTAAAGGAGTTCTAAGAGGGGCTGGGCAATGTAGCCTTCACCCTGGGCAGCCACACAACAGCTAAACATTCTAATACTATGGAAGGGGAACAACATGGAGGAAGCAGGAACAGTCTCTTTCACAGATGTATTACTTTATTAATACCACTTTATATCTAGGTAAAACTGTACTATTTATAAAACATTTTCACCTTCTCACTTCAGCCTATCAAATAGGTATTTAACAAACCAAGTCCTAGGCCCTGTATGTGCCTCGCCAGCCAGGTCTACACTGCCTCCATAAAAACATTCGTAGTGCTACCAAACTTTGCTCATAATCATTTTGCTTTTTAATTGACAAATTTGATTTTTTTTTCCCTGACCTCACTAAGCATACAAGTTCAGTATCTTTACAATCTTCTACTTGGACAGAGGATTATTAGAAACAAACCGTTATTGAACTATACAGTATTTTAGACTTTAAAAAATACTTTCAGGTACATGAAAAGTATATAGCCACCAGTTTCTTCATTTAGAAATGGCTATAATAATAGAACCCACTTCCTAAGGGTTGTTGAGCATCAAATTAGATAAGCCACGCTTAGCATATCAGATGGTACATCATAAGCACTTGATAAATATAAGTTAATATGGTTATTATTTCAGTGGGTTTTTAAAATAATCTTATTTACATTTTTCTAAAGCACATCCTCTTCTGTTAACTTGGCAAGTCAGAATTTGCAATGTGTGGGTTTGCAGGGTATACTTTCTATTGGGGAAATTTGTACAAATGTTTTCTGTTTTGGGATTTCTTTTAACAGCATCACAGCCACAGCTGCCAGCATCGGGGCAGCTGGGATTCCTCAGGCAGGCCTGGTCACCATGGTCATCGTGCTGACATCTGTGGGCCTGCCCACTGACGACATCACACTCATCATCGCAGTGGACTGGTTCCTGTGAGTATGCATGGACTGTTTGGGCTCGCTGTCACAGGGCACCATGCAGCCTGGCATGCCTGACACAAGGGCAGAAATGAAGTGATTTTCATTGGTCCCTGCCCTTCTATGGAGACCAAGCCCCAGATGCCATGTGCCTTCACTCCCTTATCAGCCTGTAGGGCACATCTGGCCGCTGCACTTCACACTCCATAAAGCCCTGCAGGGATTGGGAAATCCACGGTCTGCGAAGCCAACATAAATCTGCAAGGCCATTTCTGAGTTGCACAACATCCCCGCAGAACAGCAGGCCTCACACACTGGTTCAGGCCCTGCATCCTTGTGCTTCCCATTCCAATGATGAAATGCAGCACAGATGTCCGAGTCCAGCAGGGAGAGGGGCAGCCATGCAGACAGTGGGAAGAGAGCTAGCTGCTGTCATTAAGTGGAACTGAGTTTTGGCTCTGGGAAAAGTTCCAAGGAAAGTACCCTCCACACCCTCAGACACTAACCTCTAGGGCCCTTCCCTCTGCTCTTTTCCTCTCGCCCTTCCAGCTACATTCTTTGCCTCTTTTCTCACCTAAGTTCCTTTCCACTTACAAAATAATTTCTCCCAGGATTCCCAAAGTAAATGCCTAGAAGGACACGTAGTTGCTGGAGTCAACGTATGTTGACTTCACTAGATCTAATGACCATGAAGAGCTCAACAGCGTGCTCAAGGCAGGGTAAGCACCTGGGAGGGTAATTGGTTGAGAGCATGAGTTCCACCATTACTTGGATCTGTGTTTGCACCCTGGCCCTGTGTGACCCTGGGCAAGTTACCAGGTCACCCGCTTTCTCCTCTGTGAAATGGGGGCGATAAAGTCATCTACCTCCTGGTGGTGCTGTGAGGATTAAGTCAATGATGCTTGGAAAACATTCAGCCCACTGTCTAGCCCACAGTCAGCACTCAACAATTATGAGGACTTTTATAGTATAAAGCTGTGGGTCTCAAAGTTTTTAGTCTCAGAACCCCTTTACACTTTAAAAGTATTGAGGACGCAAAGCTTTTATCTATGTGGGTCACATCTATCAATATTTATCATAGTAGAGAAACTTAGAAATTTTTTAAATGTTAAATTCATTTAAAGGTTACAATAATAAATTCATTACATGTAAACATAAATAACATTTTTATGAAAAAAAAGTATCATTTTCAAACCAAAATTTTAGGGAAAAGAATGGTACCATTTTACATTTTTGCAACTCTCCTTAATGTCTGGCTTAATACAAGACAGCTGGAGTCTCCTAATTGTTTCTGTATTTAATCCATTGCGGTATCTTTTGTGTTGTGTTGTAGTTTTTGTAAAACTCTGCTAGACATTCATGGGAAAAAATGAGAGTGAGAAGGGCAAATAACATTTTAGCATTATTATAAAAATGGTTTCAACCTCAGGGACTCCCAGAGGTCTCTGGACCACACTTTGAGAACTGCTGGTATAAAGGAAGATGAGTTGTAAGAAAGAGAATCAAAGAGAAGTTTTAAATAAAAGGAGGAAGGGAAGGGTCATTCCCCACTGTTGGTACTCTAACTAGTAACTGAAAATTGATCATCTATGTACGTCATTATAACTTTTAATAACGGCCGTTAGAAAAGTTATGTATCTATTATGTAATAAGGCAGTTGGGGGATATCCCAAACAGAATTTTAAGAGATGCTGCCAAATACTTAGCCAATAGTTCAAAATATGTGCAAAAGTCATGTGTTATTCGCAGGATCCTCATGTTTCCTTCTTCCTGCCCTTCCTAGGGACCGCCTCCGCACCACCACCAATGTGCTGGGAGACTCCCTTGGGGCCGGCATCATTGAGCACTTGTCACGACATGAACTGAAGAACCGAGATGTTGAAATGGGTAACTCTGTGATCGAAGAGAATGAAATGAAGAAACCCTATCAACTGATTGCCCAGGAAAGTGAAACTGAGAAACCCATCGACAGTGAAACCAAGATGTAGACTGAAAGAAATGCTTTCTTGAGCACCAGCTGTTTTGAAAACCATCACAAAATGTTTCCATCTCATTACAACTCATTCTCTCCAGTAAGCCCCTCACCTTCCTACTCTGATAGGATTGGGAGGTATCCATCTAAAAACAAGGGATTTTGCAGCGGCCACATGTTATAGTCTTTATCCCACATATGAAATTTTTAAGTAATTTCATGTTAGTCTTATCGAATAAGGTACTGAGATCAAAAATAGTCTTGATCAGATTTTACAAGTTTATGTGGCACACAATCCTATAAATGTGATTTTTAGAAGTTAAAGTCAAACAAATAGTAGGCTAAAAATATGCTTATAAATGAACTTTCAAAATTAAAAAAAATAATCCTTCAGAAAACAATTCAGTTTTCGTATCAAAACAAAACAACTTGATGAGCTACAATCGGCTATCAGTTGAACAATAGAAGGGTTTTTTTCCCCTTTCCCTTCTGATTTGTGTCCTTATTTTATTAGCAGCAGGACAATATGAAAACACACCTACCACAACTGTGAAGGTACATAAAAGGAAACTTCCAAGTGGCCATGGGCAGGTTACATCTTATCTGTAGGCCTCAGTGTTCTCATCTGTAAAATGAGTGAGTTCCCTAGATGCCTTTGTGTTCTCTTCTAGCTCAAATATCCTTTGGCATCATGAAAGAGCCTGCCCTCTATTTCCCTTCAGGTCATCCTGTAGCAAGTATCATCCCATAGAGCATGGGACTTTCAGAAGGGACATTTATTGGGAATGAACATTTCTACATAGGGGCAGAATGGCAGTGTGGCTTACCAGGGCCTGTGTCCAAAACGTCAGTATACATGTCACCAGGCCAGAGGCCATTCCGGGAGTGGAGTCATTCATGATCTCTGTGCTCAGTTCTTCCCACCAGAAGTATTCCCTTCTTTCCTACTCTTCCCAAACTGAAAGGACTGCTCTGGGAAAGATGTCTCCTACCACCCCTCAACTGACAATATACACTTTTAGAAATTAAAATGTAAGACTAGCAACTAGCAAGGGTACTCCTGGTCTTACTATGGAACACTAAAGAGCCGGCTAGGAAAGAATGGAGCATGGTTGACCTCATAAAGAGAGGATTTTAAGACACTAGGATTACAGGTGATCTTTAAGAAAGAATTTAAATTAAAAAAAATGAGTTTTTATTTTTAAACTGGAAACACTTTTTCGCTTCAGTTCCAAATCATTTCCCAAGGAAGTCTGCATATCAAAATATAAGGTTACTTCTTATATATTTTAAACAAGTCAAGTGAATTGGCTCTCTTTCTCATAGAGGTCTGTGAGCCGGGTGGGTGGTCTCTTATTTGAAAAGGGATTGTACTATAAGCAAGAGTTCTTAGAATGAGGGAAACAAGATATTCCTTTGTGTTGGAATTCTACTTACCAAATCATTCAAAACCTTCAGCTGGAGTGGGGTTTGGGTTTGTTTTGTTTGTGTCCCTGAGAGAAATGGTAGAAGATGAATCAGTATGAAGACATTGTCAATGTGGGTCCAAGGGGGAAAAAAAACAACAAAAAACGAGCAGGGGCATTAGTTTCAGGCAAAGCAGCTCCCAGATTTGGAGGAGATTAATTTTTTTACCCCCCGAAGGCATATCCAGTCCAAGATGCAGAATGGGAGCTGTCAGACAATACCAGCTGTGTTTGAGTTTCTGACCGAAAAATGGTGGAAAATGGTGAAAAATGGACTTAATTATGCTAACAGACTGAAAATCTAGACATACATCCTCTATATACAATTAGAGATATTTTTATAGCGATCCCAAGCATTATGTGTGTACAAAAGTTAACATTAGGCTGTGGTGGAGTAATCATTTAATGTCAAGGCTCTATTTCGGAAATACACTACAAAAGTTAATGTACACGGATGTCATCTTACAACACCGGTAGAGCGAAACTTAATCATGTCAAATTAATTCTGTTACACAGTGTGATCTTTTTTTTATACTAACCATTTCTTATGGAAAGCAGGTCCTCTAGGATGATCCTCTCGCCAGCCCATCACAGGCTCTGCACCCAGTGTGGACTGAGAAGCATTACTTTGTAGATGTATTTTCAATAAAGAAAAAAATTAGTTTTACATTATACCTTTGCACATTGTTATTCTTCTCCCTGAAAAAAGAAAAATACATTTTCCATTTATGGAAGTATTGCAGTGAGCACAGGACAATGCTGGGGAAGGAAACCATGAAGATTTTTTTTTTTAGATTTTACTAGGTTAAATCTCACAAAGACCAGCTAGGAGAGCCAGCCACAAGAAAATAAGTAAAAACAAGCTCTTCTTTGCCCAACTTCTAGAACTGGGCTGGAAACTTTGCTGTAATCACCTGTACTTACTTGTCCACATTAGAGTCAAATTCCTCAGATAAATTGACTCATTTCCATGTTGGCATTAGAAAAGTGTAAGCCACTGTCGGTTCTTCCAAAAAGTAATTTCCCATCTGACCTTCAAATTAAGTCGATTTATCTATGTGATTACTACTGCCATTTGTGAGAAGAGCTGAATAAGATCTGAAGGGATGTTTCAGAAACAGCCATTGTGCTGGTGAACTGTTCTAGTCATGAAGAACAACTTGTGGGTGGCTGCCTTTTGCCATCATGCTTTTTAATAAATAATTATTAAATTCTAATATCATGGAATGCCAGATTGAAGTGGCATCTGGAGACCCTTTCACCTGACCACCCTGCAGGTAGCAGCCACTCACAGGAGAGGCTCTTAGGTAGGGTCCGCAAGACCCTGGGTCATCCACGTGAAATGCCAATGAGTTCATGTAGCTCCTGAAATTATGGGAAAAGTTTTGTGCATTTGCCTTTCTCTGGGGTAGAAATCTTTCATTTCCATCTATTTCTTTAAAGGATCTTTGGCCTAAAATTTACAAGTCACTGTTTGATCAGTACATCCTAACCGGTGTCAAGGCGTCTGTGATATTTGAATGGCTGACTGGGGAAATGGAAGGAGACTACTGACAACCTGAGGGAACCAAACCAGCTCAGGCCACCCTGAGGGACCCACATCTGCACACCTGTGGGACACACTGGAAATAAGGCATCCCGGGAGATGCCACAAGAGCCGAATCCACTGCTAGGAAGTACTCGCCCCCTGCCGTCACCAGTTTCCTTCCCTCCTGCAGTCTGAACTGGATTTTGCCCCCTCCACAGTGCTTGAGAAGTTGGTCCCCAGCCTGTGGAAACGTTATCACGGTTATGGGACTTGGCAGCTCTGTCAGTGTGTAACTTCCATGATGGGGAGCGACACAAGCGTAAATCTCCACGTGTGGTAGCCATAAATCTGTTCACAAATGGAACCATGAAAAACGTTCAGGTTAACATTTTTTTTAATGTTTCTGATAAATAAATACATTCCTAACAAATTTTTTAAATCCTACACTTTGAGAAATTGGGAGTCTATGTGCTGCCCGGCCCATATTTATCCCTTCCGTACCACTGTCCCACCCCAAGCAGGATTCCTCTCCCGAGCAAAAAAAGTCTCACTTTCCCAGCAAAATCCTTTTTTGTAAAGCTTTTATTCATATATGCCACGTTGAAAACAGAGATTTTAGTGCTGTTAACTGCGTGGGTCTGAAGGGAGCTTGCTGGATGCGAGCGGATCGAGGTCTTGCGGGGGACCGGAGCACATGCCCTGTCTCCGGGCGGCCCGCTGGGCGCTTGACCCAAGCCGGCTGTCAGTCATCTGGCCTCCGCGGCCCCGCGCTGCCCCTTCTCCCACCCGGGTGGTCCCAGAACTCGGGCAACAATGACCAGCTCTGTGTGGCCTTTTCCGGGGGGGGGGGAGCAGAGCAGTTGGGAGGTGTCACCCCGAAGGCAGGCTCCGAATGAATAAGCCGACAGAAAAACAGCCAGGAAGGAAGAGCGAAGGAAACTGACGGTCAGTGTTGTAAGAGGGGAAGTGGGAGATGAGAAATCTCCGGGATAAATGAGGCCGGGTCCGATATCTACAATAACCACCAGGGGGAGCTCGGAGCTCTTCACTAGGAGGGGCTGCACTTCCTCTTAGAAAGAATTCCCTTTAAGAGCATATGGAACCCTAAGGTCTGCAGAGGGCGGATCAATATGTGAAAGCCGTCAAGGATGTTAAGATTCTTCACTGTCCCCATTTCCCTTTTCCCTCTGGTCACTCTGCTTCTCCCATAGCCTCTGTCAGGAGCCCCTTCATTTCTGGGTACTCTCTGTTTTGTCTTCCTTGTGCCCTGCCTCTCTCCCCTCCCACTAATTTTTTTGCCATCCTGTTCTGGATTATAACTCCCCATCTCATCACTTATGTTTCCCAGGCTCAGGCAGGCACTCAGAAAGCAGCACAGTAAAAATTTCAGCTGATTTTCCCTCATCATCCCCACAAAACTGCTGTCTCAACCTTTACTTTGGATGTCACATTTTACTGAATTTACCTATACCAGTAGGGTTATCAGATAAAATACAGTATACCTTAGTTATATTTGAACTTCACGGTAGTAACACATGTTTTAGTATAAGTATTAAATAAATAATGTTTTAATGTTAAGTATGTCCCAAAATAATATACGGGGCAACCTGTATTTTTATCTGTTTCTCTGGCAACCTTACATAGAACAAAATGAAGATTCAAGACAATTTATGTTTGCTTCAATGAAGTAGGTATTATAGGTGAAAGAGTTTGTGGGATCAGTAAAAATAATCTTCCTAATTTTTAATTTCTGTCTATAGGCAAAAACAGGTTTTACAAGGAGTCCAGAGCTGGGACATTTCCTACTATTTATTTGTTCTGGAGAAGCCATCACTCATTATGTGCTTATAAATCTTGTGGCTGCACTTAAAAAGCCTGATCAGTCACATTTAAGACTTCACACAACAGCTTAAATAAATTGAACACCATTTCAGTTATCCATGCTTGAAATATTTTTAAGACTCACATCTGTTTTCTTTTCTTTTTTCTTTTTTTCTCCTTTCCTTCTCTCACTCCTTCCTCCTGCACCCTTTCCTCCCCTCCCCCTACTACAAACATAAAATATTTTCTGTAATCCATTACAGGGCTGAAAAATTTGGCATTCACATGTTGGTTTCCAATGGGGCACACGTTTTTTTCATTTGGGGTGCTCCTTTTAGAAAAGTGCCCATATTTTCTTTTCATATGGCACTATTCAAAGACCATCATTTCCCAGTCCTTGTAAAGTTGGGAATGAGGCATTTTTCAAAATCTCTTTAGGGAACTCCAGCTTTCATGGATGGGCATCATTCCCACAAAAGCTCCTTCTTTAAGCCAAGGCTGAATGTTATGAAAAGCAGGGCCCAGTTGGTACTGCAGAAGGAGGACAAAATATGCCCCTTAAAATCATAAACTCCTTTCCAATAATCACATATGTGCAGACACGTTAAAGAGAGCAGTGAGTCTTGTAGAAGATGGTGTCAGATGACAACTTTGGGGTTTCTTTTCCAACTCTGTTCAGGGGATCATACAGTGTCCTGAAGGCAGCCAGCTAGGAGCTTGCAGGAGAAGACTATCCAAGAGTCAGGGCAGCCCCCAAAAGAACTGATGATGGGTCTGCCCTGGGGAGAACTTAGCACTCAAAGATTCTGTCAGCAACACAAGTCTGGAAACTGTCACCAAATTCCACTGTCTTGGCTCTATAGTGCTTCTGTGAGGTATTGTTTCACTTAAACTGATGATGAGCTATCAGCCAAAGGAGTAGAAAACTCGAGAAAAGTCTGCATGTGTGTTAGAAAAACTAACATAACTAAACTCAAAATAGCTCCCTGCTTGCTTAAACCTAAAGGCTTCCACCTTAGAGAAGTGGTTGATTCCAAACTTGTACACAATGCTGGGCTGAATCCACGCCCAAATTCTTGAGAAACTTCATCAGCATCCCTGGACCATCTCGGTTAACTCTAGAATGTTACCTGACATCGTGGTAATGGTAGTTTTAACACAGCTTCTTCACTGCGCAGGTAGAGTGGGAAGCAGACCTGGATGAGAAAATGTGGGTTCTAGTCTCTGACTTGCTTTTAACCAAAGGTGGTCCCTTGATGTAATCATTCGCGCTCCCCGGACCTCAGTGTCCTCATCCGTGCATGTGGGGTTGGATGAAACCTGCAATCTCCAAACCAATGTTCATATCAGATTCCCATATATTGGAGGTAGTGTTCAAGTGGGGTTCTGTTATCAACTAAGCATGGCAAATGATAGATTCAACTTCAACCCCCTTGTCATAAATGAGTATAATATCTTCTCACGAGGGTAATAATGAGAATTAAACAGATACAAAATTCTCAGCACTGTTTCTGTCCCTTAGGAAGATTCTTAAGGTGTTTAGAACAAAACGGGCTCAGTGAAGGAGGGAGAGGCGTAGAAGTGATGCTGGAGGCGGGGACAGTGGTTCCTGACTCCATCTGGGCCCACTGTGAGCAGGACGGAACTCCCCCAGGAGGCCACAGACCTACATCTTCTGAGAGGGAGGCTTTGCAGAGGCCTGTCACCCCTGGAAACTGGCATCATGAGAAACTGCCAGGCCTCTTCACAGAGTGGCTCAGGCCTCTGTGCCCGGGGTGGACCGGCAGCCTCTGCCAGGCTCCTCCAAGGCCTTTGTCAGGCCGGCTCTCCCAGCAGGCCCACACTGCGTGGAGGTTTTGTGCAGGGCACAATTCGACACTCTGAGGAGACCACCCAGCTTCCTCCAAGTCTCCCAGAGAACAAAACTGTGCCTCTGTGTGCCAACGACCTACCCCTCTGCCAGGCCCCCTCCTGCCATCCTTCTGCCTGCCAAGGGGAAATTGAGAGGCAGTCAGGCCCGCTCTGTGGGAACCCAAGGGTTGGTGTGCTAATGCGCTGCCCCAGCTGGAGGCCGAACACTCTGTACCTGGGATGCTGCTGCCACCCTGTGGCAAAAGTCTTCCTCTAGGCTCCTGAGGGCCACGGCAGGCCAGACTTCATGGAAGCACAGAACATTTACTAGAAGCTCATGACTATGGAGTCAAGCAAAGGCTATAGAGACAGAAGATAGTTCAGAAGTTTGAAGAAAAAAGGAAGCATTCAGTGTCTACAGCAATAATTCTCAAAGTGTGGTCTGCCTTAGAAATGCAAAGTCTCAGATCCC